CTTAGAGTTTTATAAAAACTTGAGGGGTGTGGATAGTGTGAATAGTCAGTCATTTTCCTAGTGGGGAGAAAGTCTCAAACTACAAGGCATAGATTTAAAGTGAGAGAGGAAAGATTTAAAAAGGACCTATCGGGTAACTTTTTCATGCGAGGGTGAAGCGTGTACAGAATGAGCTGCCAGAGGAAGTGGTGGAGGCAGGTATAGTTACAACATTTTAAAAGACATCTGGATCGGTACATGAATGGGAAGGGTTTAGAGGGATATGGACTAAATGCTGGCAAATGGGACTAGGTTACACTGGGATGTCCAGTCAGTGTGGATGAGTTGAACTGAAGGGTCTGTTTCCGTGCTGTATGACTATGACTCTACCTGGTCCTGGTGACTTGTCAATTGTAAGTACAGCCGTTCCAATATGTCCCTTCTCAATTTTAGTCCACACAGGATCTTAACTACCGCAACTTTCACTGACATCGTTTTTGGGTGCACAGCGCTAATTCCATATCTCAATCATGCCTCTAACTCAGTGCATCAATATGCTTTTTGGTTCCTAATTGGCTGTACTTTTTTTTACAACCATCCTTTTTACTTCTTGTGCCCTAGTGGAAGACTTTTGGAATCCCTTTTACATTGGCTGCCAGTCTTTTCTCATACTTTCTCTTTAGGGCCATAGTAACAGAAGTACCCCATTCAGCCTGTTCTTAGAACATAGAACAGTACAGCACAATACAGGCCCTTTGGTCCACGATGTTCTGCCGACCTGTTATCCTACTGAGATCAGTCTACCCTGCACAGCCCACGTTTTACTATTCTCCATGTGCCTATCCAAGAGTCGCTTAAAAGTCTCCAAATTATCTGACTCCACTACCACTGCTGGCAGCGCATTCCACATGCCCACCACTGTCTGTGTAAAAAACCTACCTCTGACCTCTCCTCTATACCTTCCTGCAATCACCTTAAAATTATGCCCCCTCGTAATAGTAATTTCCACCCTGGCAAAAAGTCTCTGACAATCCACTCTATCTATGCCTCCCATCATCTTGTATACCTCTACCAAGTCACCTCTCATCCTCCTTCGTTCCAATGAGAAAAGCCCTAGCTCCCTCAACTTTTCCTCCTAAGACCTGCCCTCCAGTCCAGGCAGCATCCTGGTAAATCTCCTCTGCACCCTCTCTAAAGCTTCCACATCTTTCCTGTAATGAGGTGACCAGAACTGAACACAATATTCCAAGTGTGGTCTAACCAGAGTTTTTTAGAGCTGCAGCATGACCTCACAGCTCTTTAACCTCAATTCCCCTACCAATAAAAGTCAACACACCATACACCTTTACAACCCTGACAACTTGGGTAGCAACTTTGAGGTTCTATTCAGTTAGGTCATGGCTGATCATTAACCCCAAAACCACTCTCCTGTGCTATCCTCATATTTGTAGAAAACCTAGACACAGAAAATAGGAGCAGGAGTAGACTATTCAGCTCTTCATAAGAATATAAGAATTGGGAGCGGGAGTAGGCAGTTCATCCCTTTGAGCCCACTCTGCCATGGCTGATCTTGTCCTCGTCTCAACTCCACTTTCCTGCCTGCTCTCCATAGCCCTTTATCCCACTTTTCATCAGAAACATATCTGTTTCTTTCTTGAATCCCATAGATCTGATTGAACAAATGAAATTTGAATGCTGATTTTGACTATTATAAATTGTCAAACAGCTTTTAATATTTATGCTTGTTAATAATTTGTTTGTTAATTCAAATGGAATTGTAAACTTACCAGTATACCCAGCACAGGTAACAATTTGGAGATAGCAAGAACTGCCGATGCTGGAGTCAGAGACAACAGTATGGAGCTGGAGGAACACAGCAGGCCAGGCAGCATCAGAGAGGAAAGCTGACGCTTCGGGTTGGGATCCTTCTTCAGAAAAGTAGGGTCCTGACCCGGAACATCAGCTTTCCTGCTTCTCTGATGCTGCCTAGCCTGCTGTGTTCCTCCAGCACCACAGCTAACAATTTGTCCTGTGACATCCTTTGTGATTACTTTAGTCTTTCTTGGTTCAAATTCTCAGTCCAATCACTATGCCTCTCCTCTGAGATCCCGCTTTCGGTGCTGTATTGAATCTTCGAAAAGCTACAGAGCAGATTCAAAAGAATGGTGCTGGAATTTAAATACATACTTGAAGATGGGTTGCATAAACTTTGCTTTTATTCTCAAGTGTAGATGATTGGGAAGTGATCTAATTGAGTTCTTCGGAATGATGTGGAAGTTCCTTCAGATGGTGGTGAATCCCTGAAAAGGGGGTACAACTTGAAATTAGAAGTGATAGCTAGAGGTATTTTAACAAATGTAGTAGTCAGGCAGTAGAACCCTTTGCTTAAGGGTGCAGATGTTTGGTAATGGAAATAAAACGATTATTGTTAGTTAAATATTGAGAGCTAGGGAGCAAAGGCAGCAGAAATGGAGTTGAGGTACAGATCAGCTATGATCTGTGAGAATGCTAGAGCAAGCCTGCAAGGCTGAATGTCTTATTCCTTGAAATACTCAAACATGTCACTGGAGTTTGGCAAGTCACTTTGTTTTGATTACGAAGCTAAGTGTGGTTCAATTAGTTGGTTATTTCCCCTCCCAATCACTTAATCGATTAACAAAATCCTCTGGAAAAAGATAAATTTAATTATTTTATTTTAACTACTGCAAGAAATGATTGAACTGATGAGATGGGTTATAGAAGCTGCTTTGAATTTGTATCAAGACCTGCTAAGTGGAAGTTCAGCTTTTTTCCCTTCACCATATCAAATCTGCAATGGTTCCTGTTTCCCCACATCTCTTCTTCCAACTCTGGCCTGATGTATGACTGAGATTGTTAGTGCCCTGCTACGTTCACTAGAGTGCTGGGGTCTGAGGCATATAATGAGACCTCATGAGGCCTTAAGAGTTTCAGCCCTGTGTCATGGTGAAACATAGCCTAGCTGAATGCTGCCTCTTGGACAACTCTTGTACATAAGTTTACAATCCTCTTCTCTTGTCCAGATCTGGTGTTTGGGGAATGAGGCAGAAAAGATCTGATACAGCTACAGTGATGGCTCAGTAAAGACCATTTTTAGGTTGGTAGTGTATGCTGTGATAATTGATCCCAGCTGGGGGTGTTAGAGGCTACATACAATAAATATCACTAGAGAAAAAGCGAAAGAGAAACTAATGGTATGAAAAGCTGGCAAGTCCCTGGGAGCTGATGGATTTCATGGAAGGAAAGTAAAGGAAGTAGCTACTCAGTGGATGCACTGATGAGAATTCTTGGAACATTACTAAATTCTGGAAAAGGTCCCAAAGGATTAGAAAATTACGTCAACAAGGGAGGGAAGTAAAAATCAAGTAATCATAGGCCAGTTAGTTTAACATCTGCTATTGGGAAAATGTCAGCGTCTATTATAAAGGATGTAAAGGCAGAGCATATAGAAATACGTAATATCAAGCAGAGTCTGCTTGGCTTCATGAAGGGAAAGTCATACGTGTAAAATTGATTAGAATTCTTTGAGGTGGTAACGAGCAGGATAAATAAATGGGAATTGGTAGGTGAAATATATTTGGATTTCCAAAAGGTTTTTGATGAAGTACTGCACATAAGACTACTTAATAAGAACCCTTGGATAGAGGATTGACTAAGTTGGAATAAAACTGTCATTTTCAGGATAACATGCTGTAACTAGTGGTGTGCCACAGGGATCAATGCTGGGGCTACAGTTATTTGCAATATTTACTAACAACTTGAATGCAGAAAGTAAATGTGCTATTGCTAAGTTTGTGGATGACACAAATGGGAAGGCAAAAGAGGATCAGATGCAGTTTACACAGGAGTCCAGACAAATTAAGTGAATAGACCAAAAACATAGCAAATAGATTGTAATGTGGGAAAAATGAGACTGTGTGTTTTGGAAAAAAGTCTGAAAGAGCTGAATATTGTTTAAATGGGAAGAGTTTGGAGAAAGCTTCATCACAGGGATTTGGGGAAACTCATGCTCAAATCTTAAAAAAATTAATATCCAAATTCAGCCTATTTGGAAGGCAGATGGTCTGTTGGCCTTTTAGAATAGTGTTGTTTAAAAAAAGGGAAGTTATACAAGGCACCAGTCAAATCACACTAGAATTGTGAACATGTTTAGTCCCCATTTAAGGAGACATATAATAATGTTGGATACAATCTGTAGGAGGTTCAGTAGGATGATTTGGGGTATGAAGAGATTTTGAGTAGAGGTTGAGTGGATTGGGTATGAATTCATTGGAGTTTAGAAGAATGAAAGGAACCTTAATTGAAACAAGTAAGATTCTTAGGCTTGATCGGTAGTTACAGAGCGGTGGTTTCCTCTTGTGGAACAGTTGAGGCAAGAGGGCATAATCTCAGAATAATGGGTCACCCTTAAGAGATGAAGAAATTCTTCTGAGGATAGTGAATCTGTAAAATTGTTTACTGCAGAGAGCTGTCAAATTTGGGTAATTAACATTTTCAAGGCTGAGGTAAATTTTCAATTATTAATGGTATCAAGGATTATGGGGAAAAGGGCAGGTAAGTGGAGTTGAGGTATATCAGATCAACCATGATCTCATTGGCGAAACAGATTCGATAAAACATAGGAGAGGCCATTAAATTTATGGGATAATAAGTTGTTCTACCCAGTGAAAGTAAGATGAAAATTGCTACTTGGAGGAGGCTGTGCTGTATTTCATAGTAACAGATTTATCTGGAGAAAATGCTTTTTGGTAAATGGGGATAAGAGGAAAACTGTTTTGTGCCTGGGTATTGTGTTAGTGAAAGTGATGTACTACATTTGTTTTATGTATGCCCTGTGCAGACTGCAACTTCAGAAGTTAGGAGTGTTTGCATAGTTTTTCTTCCAAATGCCCTTCTCAAATAAAAAGTACAACTTCTTAATTTTAGCACTAAAACATCAGAGCAGTTTGTGTTGACAAGAATATCACCTGAGCCCTTTTTGTTTAATTTTGTGTTTAATAAAGGTTGGGGAGACCCTTGCAATGTTCAGACAAACTCTGAATCCTCTTGGGGAGAGCCACCAGCTCTAACTGCAACAGTGGACAATGGAACCGCAGCCTGGGGTCAACCCATGGATACAGGAACCAGCTGGAGAGAGCCAGTTAATGACAATGCTGGTACCTCTGGATGGGGTAACACCCCAGCTGCCCCACCACCTCCAAATAGACCTGGTAAAACTCTTAATATTTTGTCATTTCCACTGGGTGCATATTTTGAGAGGAGGTGTGAATCATTATGCATTGGGGCTTTGAGTAATAAGTTCCATCACAAGTTTAATTTATTGTACGTAGCATTAAACCTTACCTAATGTTCATTTAAATTATCAAGTATGCCGTCCTCCATTTCATTTAACCCCTTTTGCCAATTGTGTAGATTCTGCTCTGAACATTCGATGCAAACATCTTGACTGTTTATAAAATGCCCTCAATTACCTTTGATTTCTTTACCCGATTTGTTTCCCCAGTGGTGAGAGCCTTTTGTGTTCAAGCACATGTTCAGATTGCCTGTCCTTAAGGCACTTCACATGTCAAGTCTGAAATAGGCAACTAGTAAAAACATGAAGTCAATTTTTTTCTCCCCCCTCATTGCCCATCTCATGGTCACCTCTGCAATCACCTAGAGTTCGTCAGCTTATAGTTTACATTGGGAAAATGAATATATATTTTTATGTAAATATAAAAAAAATGTAAAAATACACAGATTACTCGTCCTGTCTAGTATTACAAGAATATTCCTCCAAGGCACATTTATGACATATTGTCATCCTGGCTAGTAGTTGGGCCTTCCATTCTGGTGTTTAACATGGATGAATGTTGTAAGTAAATTATGGAAAACATTATTCCATCAGTTCAGACCAGAACAACATTGCTCATAAATGTTCACAGGCTTTGGTTTCTAAATGAGGGTGAGGGATAAATTCAGACCGCAGTTTTCTCAGTAGTTGTAATCAGTCATCTGTTCTTTACAGTGCCCAAACCTATGCAAGATGGCTGGGGTGATGAGGAAGCATCATTGCCAGGAACTCGTCACTCTAGCTGGGAGGAAGAAGAAGGAGAGTCTGTGATGTGGAACAGCAACATCTCACAGGATAACACCACCTCTTCAAACTGGACATCAAAAAAGATGGCTCAAAAGGTAGAGATTTTTGGCAACTATGTTGCTTACACCTATATCACTGACTTCAAAGATGTATATGGTTTTATGTCTCTTTGTTTTTTAAAGCACTCGCCAACTAACCTTGCGGACATTTATATGTACACACTGGATTTTCGTAGTACAATGAAACCCTGGAGTTGTTGCAGTCTTGGTCCCCATATTTAAGGGAGGGTATACTTGCATTCAAGGCAGTGCAATGAAGCTTCACTGGATTAATGTGTGTGTAGCCATACGAAGAGAGGCTAAGTATATTAGGTTAATATTCTGTGGAGCTTCAAAGCTTGAAGTAATTTCATTGAAATGTAAAAGATTCTGATGTGGCTTGACAGGATAAGAGGTTTGGTCCTCTTGCCTGAGAACAGGGTGCTGCCTCAGGATAAGGGACTAGTTTGGGACTTAAATAAAATACTCCTTCAGTCAGAGAGTTGTGAATTTTTGGATTTCTCTACCTCAAAAGGGTTGGATGCTCCATTGTTGAGTATTTTTAAGGCTGAAATAGACACAGACTTTCGGTGTCTCCAGGAAACAAATAATATGGGGGTAAATGGCAAAATGGTGTTGACACCAAAATCAACTACACTGTTATTGAATAGTGTTGCAGTCTGTATGATAGAGATTTTATTTCTTATGTTCTAAAATATTGATGAACTGGTGTTAGCTGTAAAAAGTTTAAAATAATTAAGTTGCCATCAGTTTAATATCAAATTAGAAGGGCTACTGCAAATGCTCGTATATTGCTCTAAATGTTACTGCGCTGGAGATAATAGTGACTTAATCAAAAATCATATTTTGAGGAGCTGGCTTTGGTGCTGTCAGTGCTTTACTTCTGGTCCACCTCAGGGATTGTATCCTACAGATTGTGCAGTGCAACATGGTAGAAGATTACTGCAAACTGGCACATAGTGACCAACATGCCCACCCATTTCTGACTGTTCAGCTTGGTCTCAAGTATGGGTGTGATGCAGAGAGGAGATACAGGTGAGCAAGTTATGAACAAAAGCAATGCACATTTTGTCTACATCACTGTCAACTAGAATCAGGTTATGTATGTGATGACTGCCAGAGTTATGAAACAAACTTATTTTTACAAGCATTTGGGTTTTTAAATCTGTTATGTTCTAGCTTATTTGTTCCCATTGTCCCTCATGATTAATTTTTTCATTTTAGGGCATGATGAAAGGAGGAAGCAAACAAGATGATATGTGGATGAATCAATTAATGAAGCAATTCTCTAACATTGGATTTCCTGTAAGTACAATTGATAATGATGAAGTTTCATTCTCTCTCCCATCCCTTTGATATCAGACTGATACAATGGGATGGGCCCTTGTCCTTATCACTAATGACCCTGGGCAGAGCTGGAGTTTTTCTCTGTAGGACAGAGTGGGGTCAGGAAAATGTATCTATGATGTCGTTTCTGTTCTGATGTCTTAATTCAATTTAATTTTCTGGTGAGTAAGAACCTGATTTCTGTCAAACGAATGTTGATTTTATTTCTGACCTGAGGTGTGATAATGGCACGAGTGTTTTAGGATTCTGAAGTTTTTGATAATGGTATTTACAAATGTGACATCTTAGCAGGAACTCTGTTGTTTCTCACTAACGGTGGAGCTGAACTGAGTGTCCTTATTGATGATGCTGCAATATGGAGTACAAATTCTTACTAAGTACTGTTTTGCTAACTGTCAAAAGTCAGTGTTCCTTATTTCTTTAATCTCTTTTGAAAAGCCCTACTCATTTCCTAAGATCCATTGTACTTCTGCTTTTGCTATCAAAGTTTCACTGACACCTGAGTACGGTGTTGTTTCTCAGTAGTGATGAATAGCTATGCTTTTGAATAAAATTCAAGATATAGAACTGAAAATTACCCTTTGCTGCCATTGACATCCACTCACCCACCACTGCGTTTCTTGGCTGAGAGAAGCGATCTTATTGCTAAATCTGGTTGAAATGGGACAACATATGGGATTTGAAGAAATTATCTTTTAACTTCTAATTGATGGTAATGTAAATATACCTGAATGCAGAGTATTGTAAATGTTTACAGTGATATCTGCATGTTACAGAGGGAGTCTGCAGAAGAAACCAAGAGCAATAAGACAGACATACCTGTTGGTAAGCTGCTATTGCAGTAAAACTCTTATTAACATCTGTCACACTCAGCAATTTTCAATCCTGAATGGAATCATTGTTCATTGACTACATTTAATAACAGTGATAAAACCTGCCTGACTCCTATCTTTCCAGGTATGTTAAGAGATAAAAGAATGGAAATGGACAAGCACAGCATGAACATTGGTGAATACAATGGCATTATAGGCAAAGGACATGCTTCTCGTCCTCAGATTTCCAAAGAGTCTTCCATGGAACGCAATCCTTACTATGATAAGGTTAGCATTCCTTCCATTTCTGCCTATGTGAGAGAAACAGATGGGTGCCTTTTTTTTTTAATCACTTTTTTAGCTAATTTTGCAGATATAAGTGGCAAAAAAGTAAGGCATGAGGCTGATTTTGATTCTGACTTTTGATAATGGGCCATTACTACTTTTTATCTGGATTCTGCATTGATAGCAAGACCCTAGTACTAATTCAGCATGAATACTGATGATAAATATCTGGTCCTTCATGGTGGCTTTACTTTTTCTTGCTTTTGAAACTAGGAATTTTTGTCACTGGGCCCTTGTCTGATCTAAAAGCAATATTTTGATTTACTCAATTCATTATCATGCTGAAATGTTTTTCATCACAATGTGGCTGCATTCACTTTGTACACTGCATCTGGAAGTACTAGTCAATATTTGTAATGTGACTTGTTTGTACATTATGGACTCCTCTTGGTAGCAGGCCATTTAACTCTGCTTGTGGACTTCAAATAGATGCTAACCCTTCGTCTCTTCTCTTGTTCCTACCATGTCCGCCTTTCTGCTGCTGATGGGCTTTCCGTTGTGTGCTTTTTCCAAACCCGCTTCCCCTGCCCAGCTGTCTTTGTCTCTGTCCAATCAAGATGGCATTATAGCAGAAGAGCCCCAAAACATATCGTACATGTCCACACCAAGCGTGAAGCTTCCCCCTTCAAACAGTGCACTACCTAATCAGGCCTTTGGCTCAATGGGGCTGGGCATTCAAAACTTGAATTCTGTTAGACAGGTGAGTCTGTTCACAACCTGCTGTGTGCATGGTGTCAATTGTAATGTGTCAAGTGTAAACATTCGTTTTGGTGACATATTCAGGATTGTTCTCAATATTTTGTCCTTCCTTATTTTTGCTTCATTATTTCTTTTGCCTCTTCTCACCTTTTCCCGATAATCCCAATCAGAAAACACACACTGTCTGGTGGTGCAACTTTGAGATACTTGTATTTTGGCCTCGGGATATTTCCCTTGAATTCTGGAAATCTTTGTAATTTCAGCTCTGACACTTAGAAGTAGGATAAAGAAATGATGGCACAAATGAGCAAGCAAAAGTAGAATGTTGCAGTGCCAAAGATGCCTAATTGAGCCTTTTAAGTCGTGCCAGCTCACAGAAAAAAAGGCTACCTTCTTAATCCCTTTATTCTGGCCTTTTTATGTGCCCTCACTTTTTAGTTGAGTATTTGTGGACTCCCCTTTTAAACATTTCTTTATGGACTCCACTGTTGTCTCTGTTCAGCCTGCATAGTGGGTAATAAGTCACTGCTCCTCATCAAAAAGCAGTTACCAGATCCGTTATATTTTACAGATCCTATTACAAAGATCGTTTATAGATGACGATCAGCTATGAATAACAGTACAGTCTTGATATTTTTTCCATATTTTTATACATAGATTTCTGACTAGTTGAGCTCAAATAATACTTGAAAAGTAAAACTGTCTTAGGTACTTATTGTTAGTGGTGCAATGATGCAAAGAATAATAAGCACTTCCTCTTAAAGGGAGGAAAGGAGAGTTTATCTTTGTAGAATGGGTAAGGTAGGTTAATTCCTATCTCTTCCCCTTCCACCATCATAGGTGAGCTCGGAGTTGAAGCAAAGTTGAAATTACTACGTAGTATATTTAGTATTTAGTATTTAGTATTTGTAATTTTTGCAGAAAGTGGCAAGCTGGTCCTAGTTGTTTAAAAGAACGGTCTCAACACAAATGGGTCCTCATGGATGGTTGGGTCATTTTAAAAAGATTTGACTGACCTTACAAATGTAGAGGAGCTGTTGGTTCAACTTAATTCAGAATGAAATGGAGCAGACAGCAGACTATTGATGTGATACCTGTTGAATATTTGATGCATTGTTATCTTATCATTCCCCTCACTGTCTTTGGATCTTCCTGCAATTTATGGTGTGTTTGAAATCATGAATCTTTCCTCTGCTGCTTGTGCTCTTATTTGCAGAATGGCAATCCTAACATATTTGGCGGCAGCAATGCAGCAGCACAAGCCAGGGGCATGCAACAGCCTCCAGCACAACCTCTTAACTCATCTCAGCCTAATCTCCGCGCTCAAGTGCCTCCTCCATTATTATCCCCTCAGGTACATGCATTTTGACTTCTTTTGGGGTTTCCTTTGCTGTTCAAAGTTTTCCCTAGATCCCGTTGTTCCTTGACTTAACCAGAAGCAATAGCGTTTGGCCATTTGAAAAATTTTCACCTTCACTTTTGGCGTGTAGTGAGCTTAATTATTTGTGCTCTTTGATGTGAGGAAGGTGTTATGATGTCTCAATGCAATTTGTTTTAAATTATTGGGGTGAGGTTATTTCTGGAGTGGACAGAGAGGCATGGGAAGAATATCCTCGATTGAGTAACAATGCAGAAAGCATTTTTATCTATATCTCTTGAGCTGTGTTTTTAATAATGGGCCCCACATGACTTCATATATCATTGTCGTTCCCCTTGTCTGCCATTACCCCTAGGATGATGGCTCTACGGAGAGGCATTTGCATGTTTGGAATGCAGCATCTTCTCTACATTCTCTTTTTTTTTCTTTCTGAAATGCAGGTTTGTATGCCATAGTAACATCAAGCTAAAACTAATTGGGACAGGATTGTGCTATCCATAAAACAATGGAGCAGAAATTATACCATTCAACCCACTGAGTCTGCTCCACCATTCACTCATTGTTGATAAGTTTCTCAACCCCATTTTCCTGCTTTCTCCCCGTAATCCTTGTTCCCCTTGACAATCAAGAACCTATCTATCTCTGTCTTAAATATACTCAGTGACTTGGCCTCCACAGCCTTCTGTGGCAATGAATTCCATAGATTCACCACTTTCTGGCTGAAGAATTTTCTCCTTGTCTCCGTTCTGAAGGGTCTTCCCTTTACTCTAAGGCTGTGCCCTCAGGTCTAGTATCTCCTACCAATGGAAACATCTTCCCAACATCCACTCTTTCCCACTTGATGTAAAGTTTTTATCGGCAATGGCGCACCTTTTTCGGCATGTATAATAGGATGCATTTGCATACCCAAGGCAAACAGTGTGGCAACTTGTTAATATTTGCATGGTGCTGTCTGAGGGGAAGAAACGAGTCACTCCAGCTTGTGCTAGAGTCTAGGAGTTGCAGCAAACTGTGGGAATGATTTTTCTTTTTAAATATGATTCCTCAGCCATACAAAATGTTTTTATTTATTACAAGCTTCCAAATATGACCAGAGGCCACTAACCACTAATATTAGCTTTGGCCTGGAGAAAAATTAACAATCAGGCAGAACAGCTGAATGTTTAAAGAATGTTTGTTTGAATCTGAGTAACCTGTTATAAATTCTTTTCTGCTCTCTTACAGGTTCCAGCATCATTACTGAAGTATGCAACAGCTAATGGGAGCCTAAACACTGCACTATTAAATTTTGGCCCCCAGCAGGTAGCCATGCTGAACCAGCTCTCACAGTTGAACCAGCTGTCTCAACTTTCACAGATCTCCCAGCTACAGGTACAGCAGCAGTTTATTTCTATGATTTATAGAGTCATACAGCAAGGAAACAGACCCTTCGGTCCAACTTATCTAGTGACCGGATATCCCAATCTGACCTAGTTCCATCTGCCAGCATTTGGACAACATCCCTCTAAATCTTTCCTTTTCATGTGCCCATCCAGATGCCTTTTAAATGCTGTAATTATACCAGCCTCCACCATTTCCTCTGGCAGCTCATTCCATACATGCACCACCCTCTGTGTGAGAAAGTTGCCCTTAGGTCCCTTTTAAATCTTTCCCCTCACCTTAAACCTATGCTGTCTAGTTTTGGACTCCCCTATCCTTGGTTAATCACCCTATCTGTGCCCCTCGTGATCTTATAAACCTCTGTAAGGTCACACCTCAGCCTCCAACTCCAACTCTCCAGGGGGGAAAGCCCCCAGCATATTCAGCCTGTCCCTATAACTAGAACCTTCCAGTCCACACAACATTCTTAAATCTTTGCTGCATCCTCTCAAATTTAACAACATCTTTCCTATAGAAGAATTGCCTGTACTATTCTAAAAGCGGCCTCACCAATGTCCTGTGTTCCCGAAACACGATGTCCCAACTCCTATACTCGGTGTTCTGACCAATGAAGGCAAGGGTGCCAAATGTCGCATTCACCACCCTGTTCTACCTGTGGCTCTGCAGCTGCACCCTTCGGTCTCATTGTTCGGTAACACTCCCCAGGACCCTACCATTAATTGTATAAGTTTTGCCCTGGTTTGTCTTAGCAAAATGCAGCATCTTACATTTATCTAAATTGAACTCCATCTATCACTCCTTGGCCCGTTGGCCTATCTGACCAAGGTCCTGTTGTACTCTGAGATAATATTCTTCACTGTCCACAACCCCACCTATTTTGTTGTTATCTGCAAACTTACTAAGTCATGCCTGCTGTATTCACTTCCAAATTATTTATACAAGTGACAAAAAGCAGTGGACCCAGCACCAATCCTTGAGCCTGGTCAAAGGTCTCCAATCAGAAAAGCAACTCTTTACCACCACCCTCTGTCTCCTACTTTCAAGCCAATTTTGTATCCACTTGGCTATCTTCCCCCTGGATCCCGTGTGATTTAATCTTACTAACTAGTCTACCACGTGGAACCTCGTCAAACAGTTTGCTGAAGATTGCACTCTGTATCTTGAAGCAATGAACTGGTGTACCCACACCATTAAGCTGATTAGGAGAATAAAGAAAATATTGTGTAAGATGCTCCCTTTAAGGTCTTGCTCAGGAGATAATAGGGAGCAGGACTAACTTTGGTGGATTAGGAAAAGGAAAGAGCAAACCAGTGTTTGCATTGAGTTAGGATACAAATAAACAGTTTTTGAAGTCAGATTGACTCCTGCTTCAGCATGTAGAGAGTAGTATTTCAATAAGTAGCAGAGCTATTTGACTTAAGTCATAAATTCGATCCCTAATCTGCGCTAGAACAGTTGATCTCAATGAGGGCATGGGTAGGATTGCTGTAATAGTTATGTGGCTTGGATTAGTCTGGATTCCTGCTGATGGCTGTCAATGTCCCAGCTGTAAGCTACTTGTATTAGGTGCGTGCAGGATCCACCATGCTGCAGTGCCACCTGGATTCAAATTACTCGCTGACACTTGAATAAAGCCTACTGTATCATCTCTCAGATGAATATTTATGGAGTTAGATATTTGGACAAAGAGAGAAATGAAGGACAAGGTAATGAAGTGTCTGCTGACCCCTAAACGTCTTAAAACATTCAGCATTTGCTGGCAGTGAATGGCAAGTTTGGCTTCTGGGAGAAGACACCTTTGCCTCTACACACTCCCCCTCCCAAATGTATCACAATGCTTCCTAAACATCTCTCAAAGAAAATACCTGCAAATTGAACAGGTTTGAATTTGTCCTGTGGTGTGCAATTACTGAATCCGTCTATGAATAAAAGGGAGTGAATATGTTCCAGAGAGACGAGATTTCTCTGTTCCCCAAACCACTACTTTCCGGGCACTATGGGGAACCACAGGCTGAATGAATCAGATTGAGTGGAGGGGGAGACTGTACTTTCCTTAATTTATTGTGCCGATAATCAGTGCTCCATCGATCAGTAAAACCGATAAAGCAAAGAGAAAGTTATTTGCATCTAATACTGTCAGCGCTTGTAAAGTTATGCTGAAAATGTCCTCTTCAGATGTGCAGGCTTCTGAGTAGACGTTAAATCAAGGTCCTGGTAAACAACACTGTCACTGGTACTCATCTGACCAGGGCTATGCCCATCAGGAAATTTATCCAACTGACCATTACCCCACTGCAGTGACTTAGAAAAGTCTGCATCCAATGCTCTGCCAGCTTCTTCCACTCAAGGTTTCAGTTCCTTTGGGTAAAGTACCATTCCCCAGAGCCTGAATAAACAAATTAAATATCTTCATGGAGGTCAAAACTGTAGAATGTAACAGATTCAATCCTCCCCATGGACCAGGTTTTCAATGTCCAATGTGAGATCAGTTAGCCATTGATTATCGATTTTACACTTTAATGTCCTTTCTTAATATTAGCGACTGCTGCTTCAGCAACAGAAGGCACAGAATCAGAGGAACGTGCCTGGACCCATGCGTCAGTCTCAAGAACAGGTAAAATCTTCTAGAATATTGATTGCTAGATATACCCTGTGGAAACTTAAATATAGCATTGATTTCAGTGAAACAATATCGCAAGTGTTCTGTATTCTGGTCAACCATGAGGCCAGTGCCCCATTATATAAATTCTGGCTTGTACCCTGCCTGTCTGTGCAGCAACTCTGTTGTAAGGGTGATGCATGCACTGGAGCTGTGGTGAAGCTGTGTGGCGCTGGTGGTGAATATACCAGAGCCACTGTGGAGGTGGGGTGGCAAAGGTGCCAGGGTGGATACTGTGCTGGGGGCTGTGGCAGAGGCAATGCTGAATGCGTGCATATTTGTTGGTTGATGCTGTGCTTGAATTTAATCTGATCTGAGTCTTTTTATGTGTGCTCAAACCATTTTGGATTATCTCCTTCAATGAACTGATCATGAATATCAAACTACACCAACCCATACAGCCACCCCACCCCCGCCCCTCTTCCCCCTCCCCAAAAATAAAGCCACTCATTACCTGTTCAGTTCTTCATCTCATCGAGCAGAACTGCTAATTTAAAAGGGGGCAGCAATTAAGTTCTGGCAATGAAGTAAAATCCTTATCCAACCTGAAAATTTCTAAAACCACTGTGGATTTTAGAATGTTAGAAGTTTGTTGCTAGTATATACTGTGGGGAGGAGATAAAAGTGACTCCCAACAAATACTAACTTGGCCTTGGAATGTATGACCACTAAACGTCTGTTTTTTCCCTCCCCACATGTTCAGGCTGCTCGTGTGCTCAACATGCAACAGATGCTGCAACACCCCCGTCAACTGGAAACAAGCCTTCTGAAGCAGCAGCCTCCGCCGCAGCATCAGCCCTCCATGAAGCCCTTCCCGGAGAACCTCATGCCCCCCACCCCTCACGAGCTGCAAACGAAAGAGCCGTCTTCGCTCAACTCATACAGCAGCTACCCTTTAGGTGGGTTTCCACAACCCAGTCAATCTGATCCGGCAGTGTCACAAGCTGCTCACCTTTCCCCGATGCCCTCTCAGTATCCTATACCCAAAATGTTTCTTCCTGACAACAGTCCTAACCACAACCTCCTCAGCCCTCCACTGTGTAATGCAAACAACCACATACCAAGCTCACCCATCCATCAACATGCAGGAAGGAAGCCTGCCACTCAAGAAAGGTCTTTGTCAAGAGGTGAATAATCTGTTTGTATAATCTTTTGCTACAAAAGTATTTGAATAAAACTAAAGGTGCCCCATTGTCTTGCCACCTATTGTTTCCTTTGACACTTGCTGTAAATTGGAAAGCAGACCAAAGGCACTGAGTTGAGGTCCCACCAGGGGCATGTTCTGGGATTGAATTTAATAATGCTGGTAATATGTAGACTGACACCGGAGAGAATTGATCTTAAGCTGTCAGGTTGTTCTTTTTTTTTAAAAAAATCCTTAACATTTTTGCCACTGGCCTTCAGGGAACAAAATCTGCCATAACTGCATGGTTTGACTGAGATGTGACTTGATGACAAGTCAGCCTCTGCCATGTCAGTCTGTCCAGGACAGAATGGCTGCTGACATTCGGTTGTCATGTTCAGAGGAAGATTGAAGTGCCGTTGAACTGCTGTACTCTGTAGCTATCTCACCAAGTCAGTATCACTGCAGAGGAGGAGGAATGATGGTTACCGTGTTTGATCTTTTGTTTCCTAGAAGTGGCATTGTGAATAAAATCAATTTACTTCCATAGGCTTGAATCCAAACTTGAATGTACCCCTGGATTTCGGCAGTATTGTTAACCTGAAAGAGCCGCAATCCCAACAATCCCGACTGAAGCAATGGACTGCCTCGGAGAACCTTCCTGTTAATTCCTCTCTAGATCAAAACTCCAGCAAACATGGTAAGACACAGTAGATTCCCTAACGCACAAACAGGTAAAATATTAATGGTAGTTCTTTGCTATTTGAATAGCCTACCGGGAGAATCTCTGAATCATGGAATCTTGTGTCTTTGCTCATGACCTATAAACAGCCACTTTATGTGGATGTTTGTACTCTTGCCATTTTATTCTTTACTGCACTGTTTAGTGGTAAAGTTTAAAACAAATCATGTTTTCTTTCCCTAGGTGCTACTTCAAGTGGTCTTAGTATTTGTTCTGGCAAGTTGCTTGAAGAATCTCCTTTTGGTCACTTTGACATTTCCATGAACTCTCTGGCCAGTCCTCCTGGATCTATTGGAGATGGCTGGCCAAGTGCCAAATCACCCAGTGATAAGCTCTCTAGCAATGTTAATTGGCCGCCAGGTAAGACATTGTGCACTGGCACAACTGAAGCTAGATTTAGATTTTTATTTTCAAATAACTTCAAGTCCAGTTTCAAGATTAGGTTGTCAGTGATCAAGCAAAACACCTTTCAAAGTAGTGAAACATTATAAGGTACATCAAAGTGGCAGTGCAAAATAAAACTTGATGAGTCGTACGAGATTAGGGAAGATGACAGAAAGCTTGGTCAGAGAGATCAGCTTTAAAGGAAGTCCTAAAGAATGAGATCAGTTAGAAAGGATTTGAGAGAATTTCCTAAAAATGCAATGATGTGAAAAAAGCAAGAATAGTAAAAAGAAATTAGTTATCTTGTAGCAAACTGATTAACATACAGGGGGATCTTGGCATACAGGTCCACAGGTCCCAGCACAAGTAGATAAAGTGGTCAAGAAAGTGAATGGCATGCTTGCCCTCATTGGTCAGAACAGAGTATAAAAATTGGCATGTCATGTTGTAGTTGTGTAGAACTTTAGTAAGGCCATGTTTGGAATATTGCATATAATTCTGGGTTGCCACATTACCAGAAGGACGTGTGGAGGCTTAGGAGAAAACATTTGCCAGGACATAGCCTGGTTTGGAGGGTATTAACTGTGAGAAGAGATTGGACAAACTTCTGAGTTATTTTAACTTGAACGTCAGAGGCAGAGGAGCGACCTGATAGAAGTTTACAAAATTGAGGGGCAGGGATAGAATGGATTGTTGGAGCCTTTTTCCCAGTGTAGGAATGTAAATTACTAGAGGATATAAGTTTATGGTAAAAGGCAGAAAGTTTAAAGATGTGTGGGACATGCTTTTTTACATGGAGGTTGGTAAGTACCTGGAATGTGCTGCCAGAGGATGTGGTGGTAGAAACAGTTACAATAGCAACTTTTGAGGCATCTTGACAGATATGAGTAAGCAAGGAGTGGAGAAATCCACGTAGAGAAGAAAGGATTTTGGTTTAGAAAGGCATTGTGTGTCAGCGCAGGCTTGGTAGGTTGAAGGGTCTATTTCTGTGCCATACTGTTCTTTGACTGCTAACTGTACTTGTTTATGGTAATTTGAATCACCATGTATTTTTTTCTACAATGGTCAACAGGAATGACAAATGCCTTGGGTGGTCTTTAAGGAAGAGGTGCTTCCAGTACAGCCCAACAAGAGGGAAAGACAGGGAGTCAAAGCCAAGGTTCCTTGGATGACGAGTGAGACAGGGAATATGATGAAAGAGAAAAATGCTACATGATGCATGTCCGGCTCAATTGAAAACGAGACCAAATACAATAAGTTGAGAAGGAAAGTAAAGAAGGAGTGAGAGTGGCAAAGACAGAATATTAAAAATTTGACAGCAATTAATGTAAAAATGAATGTAAAAATCTTCTGACATGTTGCATTAAGTGGGTAGTAAGAAATGTGGTGGAGCCTATTTGGGACAGAGATAATGTTTCAAGGCATAGGACAAGGTTATAAATCTGAATGAGTATTTCATATTGGTGTTTATTAAGGAACAAGATGCTGAGAAAATATTGTTAGAAATGAAGGTGAAGATAATGATGGAAGTGGAAGTTCCATGGTGAGAGAACCGGAAAGACCTAACTAATCCAGATAGCTGACGTCTCAGTTTGCTAAAGCACGTGGCAGTAGAGATGACGGAATGTATTGCTGCTCATTCCTAGATTGAGGAGAGATGTCAAAAATGAGAAGTGGGAAATGTAATACTTGTTCAAAAAAAGATGTAAGGTATTCTTCACAACAATTGATTGATGAATTTAACATCCGTGGTTTTAAAATTATTGAACAGGATAAAATTGAAAGGTACTTGGAGAGATTTGAATTAAAAGGTCTCGAGGGTTCTCCTTCATTAAGAGGTGAATTATGCTTGACTAATTAAATTTTTTGAAGTAACAAAAAGTTGTTGAAGGTATGCAGTGGATGTTGTCTATATAGATTTTAAGGAAGATTTTGACAAAGCCACATGAAAGCCTGGTTAATAAAATTGAGGCTGTTGAAATAATAGATAAATTTGGAAAGATAATTGGTTCAAGAAGTGAAACATCAAGTTACATTAAATTGTTTTCCAGACTGGTGGATGGATGACAGCAGTGTTCTCCAACGTCAGTGCCTTTATAAAGTAAATATTTAGTAAAATTTCAAAATTTGCCAATACTAACAGGCTTGGGGGTATGGCATACAGTGAAGTTGATATCATTTGAATGTGACAGGACATAATTAAACCAGCTGTTTGGAGAGAGCAAGTGATCGAAGCTGAAATGTGAGGTCATGCATTTTGATAGAAACAGTAGGCAGAGGCAATAATTACTCGACAATTCTAAGTAGTGTACAGGGACAGAGACCTGGGCATTCATGTACATAGATCCTTGAAGGTGGCAAGACATGTTGAGATAGTTAACAAAGCTGATGGGATTTTGAGCTTTATAAGTAGAGATATTGATACAAAAGCAGCTGTGTTTAGATCACAGGACTTAAAGGTCCTTGACAGCGTGCAGAAGAGAATTGCCAAAATAGTTCATGGATGAGAAAATTTAGTTATTTGATAATGTTGTAGAAGCTGAGGTAGTTCTTTGGCAAATCTGGCTAAGGGATGGTCTGATAGAGATTTAAAAATTGTTTGTATATATGTGCAGATAAGAGATAAAAGCTAATCACGAAAGCTGATGCCTCAAGGATGAGGTGAACACAGATATAAGATTGTTGGGTAAGAAATACAAGAGGGATAGTGGTAGTGATCTGGAACTCATGCCTAAGTCGTAGAAGAAGAGATGGTTGATTATGAATGGTATTTCATGTGGGCACTTCAGGAAAGAACACTTCTAGTGTATGATTCTGAGAAGGTTTGTATCAAGTACAGTACAAAATCAAGAAGGCTGATGGGGTGCTGTATTTTATTGTGAGGGGAATTGAATATGAGTAAAGATGTTATGGTTCAGTCATACAGGGAATTATGAGAGCACATTTTGAATACTCAGTGGTTAGCACTGCTGCCTCACAGCAGCAGGGACCCAGGTTCAATGCCACCCTTGGGCGACTGTCTGTGTGGAGCTTGCACGTTCTCCGTGTCTGTGTGGGTTTCCTCCGGGTGCTCCGGTTTCCCCTCTCAGTCCAAAGATGTGCAAGTTAGGTGGATTGGCTAGGCTAAATTGCCCATAGTGTTCAGGGATGTGTAGCATCCAGAAGATCATCAGATGCCATTTCCGCCACCTCCAGCGAGATGCCACCACCAGACACACATTCTCCTCCCCTCCCTTGTCTGCCTTCCGTAGGGACCGTTCCCCCTGGTGCAACACCTGCGCATTTACTTCCTCCCTCCCCAGGATCCAAGGGCCCAAACATACCTTTCAGGTGAAACAGCACTTCCCCTGCACTTCCAAGAATCTAGTCTACTGCATTCGCTGCTCACAATGTGGTCTCCTCTACATTGGGGAAACTAAGCGTAGACTTGGTGACCGCTTCGCAGAACATCTATGTCCTGCTTGCAAAAAAGACCCTGAACTACCTGTTGCCTGCCACTTCAATGCACCACCTTGCTCCCTGGCCAACATCTCTGTCTCTGGCTTGCTACAGTGCTCCAGTGAAGCTCAACGCAAGCTGGAGGAACAACACCTCCTCCTCATTTTTCGCTTGGGGGCACTACAGCCCTCTGGACTCAATATTGAGTTCAATAATTTTTGGGCCTAAACTCTCCCATGTCCCAGCCCCCCGACCCCACACACCAGGCCTTGTTACCACATAGCCTGCCACTACACACCCGCTGTTGTTAGTCGCTAACAGTCCCCATTAACAACTACGCGCCCTCCCAACCTGATCGTTAGCAACTCCTTTGTCTGTCCAACTGTCTTTCTCTCTCTTTGGGCTCTATCCTATTGTTTACTCCCTACCCCACCCACCTCCCTATTTTCTGCATATAAACTTACGTTTTCCCAGCCACTATCAGTTCTGAGGAAGGGTCACCGGACCTGAAACATTGACTGTTTTCTCCTTCATAGGTGCTGCCAGACCTGCTGAGCTTTTCCAGCAACTTTGTTTTTGTTCTTGATTTACAGCATCCGCAGTTCTTTTGGTTTTTATAAGGGGATGGGTCTGGGTGGGATGCTCCAATGGTTGGTTTGGACTTGTTGGGCTGAAGGGCCTGTTTCCACACTGTAGGGATTCTATAAATTCTATAATGTGTTCATTTTGCTCTCCTTATTTAAGGAAGGCAATGGCCTTGTGGTATTATCGCTGGACTGTTGATTCAGAGAGCTTCTGGGGACCAGGGTTCAAATCCTAGTGGTTGAGTTTGAATTCAATAAATATCTGGAATTATGAATCTAATGATGACCATGAATCCATTGTCGATTGTCGAGAAAAACCCATCTGGTTCATGAATGTCCTTTAGGGAAGGAAACTGCCATCCTTACCTGGTGTGGCCTTCATGTGGCTCCAGACCCACAGCAATGTGGTTGGCTCTTAACTGTCCTCTGGGCAATTAGGAATGGGCAATAAATGCTACCTAGCCAGCGACACCCTCATCCCGTTAATGAATAAAGAAAAAAAGTGTATTGAAAGCGGAAGGTTTACTGGATTTTCACCTGAATGAGTGGGTTGTGTTATGAGGGTAGCCGGTGCCATTCCACTGGGGTTTAGAAGAGTGAGGGATAATTGATTGAAATGTATGAGATCTTGAATGGTCTTGACAAAGTGGATGTGGAAAGGAGGTTTCTCTTTGTTGGTCAGCCCAGAACTAGAGGCACTTTTAAATTTAGGGATTGTCTTTTCAGGGCAGAAATTAGTTTTTTTAAGACATCCCTAGGCAGGTTTATGTTAGGTGGGAAGACTGAGAATAATCCTGGGTAGATGGGAATGTGGATTTGAAACAAACATATCAACCATGATCTTATTAAATGGCAGAGCAGAGTCAAGGGGCTCAATGATCACCTTTTGCTCCGATTTTGTATGTAACTTGTAGGAGTCGGGGGAATGACACTGGCTTTTTTTGTGTAGAGATCTGACATGGACTCGACAGGCCAAATGGTGGTGGCTTGAACTGTGGTGATGACTGACTCTCTCTGGTTCAGTGGTGGAGTGACTAGTGGGTTTCTTGTATACATAAATGATCTGGAGGAAGGTATAGATGGTCTGATTAGCAAGTTTGCAGATGAGACTAAGATTGGTGGAGTAGCAGAAAGTGAAGGGGACTGTCAGAGAATGCAGATGAATATAGATAGATTGGAGAGTTGGGCAGAGAAATGGCAGATGGAGTTCAATCCAGGCAAATGCGAGGTGATGCATTTTGGAAGACCCAATTCAAGAACGAACTGTGTGGTAAATGGAAAAGCCCTGGGGAAAATTGATGCACAGAGAGATCTGGGTGTTCAGGTCCATTGTACCCTGAAGGTGGCAACGTAGGTCAATAGAGTGGTCAAGAAGGCATACGGCATGCTTTCATTCATCAGATGGGCTATTGAGTACAAGAGTTGGCAGGTCATGTTACAGTTGTATAGGACTTTGGTTTGACCACATTTGGAATACTGCGTACAGTTCTGGTCGCCACATCACCAAAAGGATGTGGATGCTTTGGAGAGGGTGCAGAGGAGGTTCACCAGGATGTTGCCTGGTATGGAGGGCGCTAGCTATGAAGAGAGGTTGAGTGGATTAGGATTATTTACATTAGAAAGACGGAGGTTGAGGGCGGACCTGATTGAGGTCTACAAAATCATGAGAGGTATAGACAGGGTGGATCGCAAGAAGCTTCTTCCCAGAGTGGGGGACTCCATTACTAGGGGTCACTATTTCAAGGTGAGAGGGGAAAAGTTTTAAGGGAGAAATGCGTGGAAAGTTCTTTAGGCAGAGGGTGGTGGGTGCCTGAAACGTGTTGCCGGTAGAGGTGGGCACGATAGCATCATTTAAGATGTATCTAGACAGATACATGAATGGGCATGGAGCAGAGGGATACAGATCCTTGGAAAATAGGTGACCGGTTTAGACAGAGGATCTGGATCGGCGCAGGCTTGGAGGGCCGAAGGGCCTGTTCCTGTGCTGTAATTTTCTTTGTTCTTTGTTCTTTGTTTTTCTTTAGTTTGGCTTCCAAAATTGTTAATTTCTGCAGTGTCAATTGTGTAATTTTCAATTGTTTTTAAGCTTTTAACTTCATTGTGCCTTGGGAATTCCTGTGGCTTTTATGGGGCTGTAAGGACTTCTTTCATAAGAATGTGATATTGGATAGAGTACATTTTTCCTTCAGGTGCTTGCACCTCTTTCATTAGGAGAGGAATCATTATTTTGGGGTGACATTTTCTCACATCATAGTGCAAGTTAAAGTGTTAATCTGTATCTATAAAGAGCAACGAAACATAATGGCTGTGAAAAATTTTCACTGTATCAATGTATGGAGGGAGGAACAATCAGATGAATAATTTGCTGAAAATAAAGTAAGTCTGTGAAATAGGATACTTAGTTGTAGGTCAAATGATACCATTTGAAAAGACTTGAATTGGTGCCAATCAGGAAAATGGACTGATGACTGTGGAGGGATTTCTGAATTATGTAGGATTTGGGGGTGTGGTGAAGAAATAAGTGGATTTGACAGAATACTACTTCCTCCAATTGGGAAGAAAGGGCACTAGCAGAGTCAACTATCTTTACGTTGCACTTGTAGTGAATTGTGCATTCGTACCTGGAGCACTGTATGAATTGAGTTCCTCTTTTTGTTGGTTCCTATTTTGGGAGTTTGAGACTATTTTCCCAGGATCTACCACCTTCTCGAATACTTAAATTCATTGCTTGAATCTTCCACATAGAGTTTCGTCCTGGTGAGCCTTGGAAAGGTTATCAAAACATTGACCCAGAAACTGACCCTTACGTCACTCCTGGCAGTGTGATGACAAGTCTATCAATCTCTACTGCCCGGGATCTTGACCTCCTCAGGGACAGGAACAATGGTAAGTGTAAGCCTCATGTTCTTTTAGCAGCAAATTATATTTGTATAACAATTTACAATGAACTGTTCCAAGGTCCTTCACCAACAAACTATGACATCAAGCCACTTGAAAGTGATCATGATCCTGGTCAAAGAGCTAGGTTTGAAAGTGCTTCTTAAAGCAGGAAAGCAAGGTTCAGAGTTTGAATGGTGTAACAAGAGAATTCCAGCACTTAAGACCTTGGCTAGAATTAGAGAAGCACAAATAGCTGACTGTTGTGGGCTAAAGGAGATTCGAGATAGGGTAGGATGAGGTAATACAGCGATTTGAAAACTAGGTAAACATTTTGAAATCGATACGCTGCTTGATTGGGAGCAAACGTAGGGCAAGTATAGGAATGGAAGGGGGAAAGAATTTGGCGCACATTAAGGCAAAGACAAGAGCGTTTTAGATGACCTCAAGTTTACAAAAGTTAAAATAAAGGTGGCCAGCCAAGAGTGCATTGGAATAGTCAAGTTTAGAGTTAACAAAGATATGACAAAAAGCTTCAACACAAATGACATGAGGCAAAGCCAAACTGATGATGTGATCGGAAGTTCACTGTTGAGTCAAATATGACACCAAGGTTGTTAAATAGTTTTGGCAGTTGCCAGAGAGGGAAAGGGTTGGTAACCAGGGAATGATGTTTAGAGCAGTGATCGAAAACAATGGTTTTAGTTTTCCTAATACCTAATTAGGGGGATATTTTACCTAAGTGGTGAATGCCAGTTAAGCAGAATGATAAGTGGAGAGGTCGAGAATGATAATGATGTCGTAGAGCTGGGTGTCATCAGACTACATTTGAAAACTGACACTCTGCTTTCAGATGGTGTCACCAAGACATCAGAAATAGGAATAGACCAAGGATAGATGCTTTGGGCATATCAGAGGGAATAGTGCATGACTGGAAAGAGAAGCCATTGTAAGTGATACTGACTATGAATAGATAAATTAGGAGGGAACCAGACAAAAGCAGACCTGCCTCCTATGGGATCGTGGGAGTAGGGAGGTGTTAGAGGAGGATGGTTTGGTCAGCCATTGTAGGGAAGGACATGGAGGGATAGTTCATAGTCCTAGGGGTCTACAACATTAAGACTGGAGGGTGACTAATGTGGTGCCATTATTTAAGAAAGGTGATAAGGAAAAGCCAGGGAACTATAACCCGATGAGCCTGATGTTAGTGGTGGGTAAGTTGTTGGAGGGGATTCTGAGGGACAGGATTTACATGTGTTTGGAAAGGCAAGGATTGATTAGGGTTAGTCAACATGGCTTTGTGTATGGGAAATGGTGCCTGACTAACTTGATTTAATTTTTTTTAAGAAGTGACAGAGAAGATTGGCAGAGCAGTGGACATTGTCTATATGGACTTCAGTAAGGTGTTTGACAAGGTAGACTAGTTAGCAAAGTTAGATCACATAGAATCTAGAGAAAGCTAGCCATGTGGATGCAAAATTGGCTTGAAGGTAGGAGACAGAGGGTGGTATTGGTGGAGGGTTGTTTTTCAGACTGAAGGCCTGTGACCAGCAGTGTGCTGCAAGGATCAGTGCTGGGTCTACTGCTTTTTGTCATTTATTTAAATGATTTGGATGTGAATATAGAAGGAATGGTTAGTAAGTTTACAGATGACACCAAATTGGTGGTTTAGTGGTCAGTGAAGAAGGTTATCTTGATACAGTCGGACCTTGATCCGATGGACCGAGGAGTGGCAAATGGAGTTTAATTTGGATAAATGTGAGGTGTTGCATTTTGATAAGGCCAATCAGGATAATTGTTATACATTTAATGGTGGGATCCTGGGGAGTGTAGCCAAATTCATAATTCCTTGAAGGTGGAGTCGCAGGCAGACAAGGTAGTGAAGAAGGCATTTGAAATTGCTTGCCGTTATTGGTCAGTGCATTTGAGTGTAGAAGTTGGGATGTCTTGTTGCGACTGTTCAGGACTTGGTTAGGCCACTTTGAGTACTGCATTCAATTCTGGTCTCCCTGCTATGGGGAAGATGTTGTTAAACTTGAGAGGGTGCGGAAAAGATTTAAGAATGTTGCGAGGACTGGAGAGTTTGAGTTATAGGGAGAGGCTGAGTATGCTGGGGCTTTTTTCCCCTGGAGAGTTGGAGACTGAGGTGTGACTTCATAGAGGTTTATAAAATCATGAAGGGCACAGATAGGGTGGAAAAACCAAGGGTAAGGGAGTCCAAATCTGGAGGGCAGAGGTTTAAGGTGAGAGAGGGATGATTTGAAAAGGACCTGAGGGACAACGTTTTCATGCAAAGTGTGGTGCGTGTATGGAATGAATTATCTCAGGTTGGCTGGACATTTGGTTTGCAATGCAGAGTGATGCCAGGTTTCAGTTCCTGCACCGGCTGAGGTTCCCATGAAGGACTTTGCTCCTCAAGCTCTCTCTGAGGTGTGGTGACCCTAAGTTAAGCCATGACTGGTTGTTGCTGTCTAATGAGAAGTCCACCTTGTGGCCTCTGGGACAATGGCAATTTGACCTTTACTTTTTAAAAGCAAGTATCCCATATGTTGCCTCAACCACTTTTTAATCTACATGTCCTGCTACCTTCAGGGACCAGTGAACACGCACACTAAGGTCCTTGCGGACCTTGCTGCTTCCCAGGGTTCTATCGTTCGTATATTCCCTTGCCTTGCTTATACTGACCAATTGCATCACCTCACACTAGCCTGAATTGAATTCCATTTGCCACTGATCAGACCATGTGTATCTTTTTGTAATTTAAGGCTACCCTCTGCATCCAGACAGCCCTCCACCGTGCCTCCTCCATTCCCTGTTCCACAGCTCTTAACCACCTCCCTTGCCCCCGCCTCTAAACATAATAAAGATAGGATCTGCCTTGTCCTCACTTTCCACCCCACCAGCCTCTACATCCAAAGTATCATCCTCAAACACTTCCACCAACTCCAATTAGACCCCATCACCTGGAACATCTTCCACTCCCCATCCGTCTGTCTTCTGCAAGCACCATTCCCTTCGCCACTCCTTTGTTTGCGCCACTCTGTCCACCAACCACTCCAACCTGCCCAGTACCTTCCCCTGTAACCGTAAAAGATGTAATACCTGCCCACACACCACCTCCCTCACCTCCATTCAGGGCCCTAAACAGCCTTTCCAAATGAGACAGAACTTCACCTGCATCTCCTCCCAACCTAGTCTACTGCATCCAGTGCTCCTGATGTGGTCTTCTGTACGTCTGTGAGACCAAAGGTAGACTAGGTGACTGTTTCGCTGAGCATCTTCACCTGGCTCATAAGGGCCAACCTAACCTCCTGGTCACTGCCCATTTCAACTCCCCGCCCCACTCCCCTTCTGACATGTTCATCCTCTGCCGCCTCCAGTGTCACAGTGACTCTCAACTCAAATCTTCCACCTTGGCCCCCTGTAGCCTGGAGGACTTGACATTAAGTTCTGCAATTTCAAATAACCTTCCCCATCCATCCCCCGACTCCCCTTCCTGCCTGACCTTCTCCCTTCCATTCCACCTTCTGAGCCACCAACCAGATTCATCCTTCCTATTGACCAACCAAATCGTACCTACGACCAATGTCTACTGTCGCCACCAGTCCGCCTCCATTCTCTCACCACCACCACCACCCCCCTCTAATAATCTGCAGCTCCTCCTAACCCCACATTCAGTTTGTGTTATACCTGAAACGTTGACTGCTCCTTTCCTTGAGATGTTGCCTGACTGTGTTTTTCCAGCCTCTTGTTTGTCATTACCTGAAAGTTAAGTCAAATTACAAAGAGATCTTGGTCAGTTAGGTCAGTGGGCTGAGGAAATGGTAGATGGAGTTTAATTTGAATAAATGTAAGGTATTACATTTTGGTAAAGCAAATAAGGGCAGAACTTGTACAATTAATGGTAGGGCCCTTGGTAGTGCTGTTAGAACAGAGAGCTAGGGGTTCAGCCACTTAATTGTTTGAAGTTTGCATCACAGGTAAACATGGTGGTTAAGAAGGTGTTTAGCATGCTTGCCTTCATTACTCAGACCTTTTGAGTATAGGAGTTGGAATATCGTGTTGAGGTTTACAGGACATTGGTGAGGCCTCTTCTGCAGTACTATGTGCAGTTCTGGTCACTTTTGCTATAGAAAGGATATTATTAAATTGGAGAGGGTTTAGAAAAGACTTATCAGAATGTCGCTGGGAATACAAGGTTTGAGTTATAAAAATAGGCTGCAACTTTCAGGGGAGTGTAGGAGGTTGAGGGGTGACTTAAAGGTTTGTAAAATCATGAGGGCCATAGATAAGGTGAATAGCAAAACTCTCTCCCTTACGGTGGGGGAGTTCAAAACTAGGGGACATATTTTCAAGGTGACAAAGATTTATAAGGAACCTGAAGGGCAGCGTTTTCACACAAAGTTTGTGTGTGCAAGGAATTGCAAGAGGAGGTGATAGATACAGCTACAGTACATAAATAGAAAAGGTTTGGAGGGATATGGGCCAAATGCAGACCAGTGAGACTAGTTTAGTTTGGAAACCTGGCTGGCATGGACTAGTTGGACCAAAGGGTCTGTTTCCATGCAGTATAACTCTGTGTAACTCCAAATTGAAATCCTCTAGTATCATTGTCATATTTTACAATTTTCTGAAGTTTACCTACATATCTGCTCTTCTATTTCTCTTGAATTGTTAAGGGCCTTATAGTACATTCCTAACAATGTGGTTTGTCCCTGTTTAGTGTTTAAGTTCTACCTGTATGGATTCATTTGAGGATCCTTCTAAAATGAAGACATAGGGATTAGACTAGTTAGATGTTTGTTTTTGACCGTAGCAGGCTTGATGTGCCAAAGGGTCTTTACTGTGCTGCAGACCTCTAAGCTGGCCTGTCATCCCCCCTCTACCACTGTAATTGATTCCCTGATGAATATTGTGACACCCCCTTCTCTTTCACCTCCTTCCCTGCCTCACCCAAAGACCATATACCTTGGAATATTG